AGCAATATACCCATATGGACAGTCTGTACGAAAAATTACTTATTTATCTTTAAGTTACCTAAGAAATATTGAGTTTGATATTAGAAGGAAAAAAAAACATTTGCAGGAGTGATTTAAGTTGGTCTAGCAATATACCCATATGGACAGTCTGTACGAAAAATTACTTATTTATCTTTAAGTTACCTAAGAAATATTGAGTTTGATATTAGATTTAAAAAAAACATTTGCAGGAGTGATTTAAGTTAAACATCCTTTCTCCAAATGTGTAGTTTACTATTGTTACATTTTTGTCTTATCTGTGAAACTTATTGTCAGAGTTCTTCAAGTTCTTTAACTCTTAATATTATTTGAGAGTCGCGGGTTCGAATCCCCGTTCCATCAAACATGCTCGCTCTTCCAGCAGTGGGAGCGTTATAATGTGACGGTCAATCCCACTATTCGTTGGTAAAAGAGTAGCCCAAGAGTTGGCGGTGGGTGGTGATGACTAGCTGCCTTCCCTCTAGTTTTCACTGGTAAATTAGGGACGGCTAGCGCAGATAGCCCTCGTATAGCTTTGCGCGAAATTCAAAACAAACTATTAATATTTATTAATACGTTCAATGAGTATGAAAATGAGGGAACAATTCATAGAAGTAAAGACGCAAGGTATTAATGGCATGTGAAAAGCAAGGTTGTAACACATGGAGAGTGTTTATTTGGAGTTGTAGACATTGTAGCAATCGAGCAAGCATGAGTGGTTTGTGCATTGCTACAATTAGATTCAGTTAAAGTTAGAGAAAATCTAATCACTGCCTTATTTTTTTTATTAATCAAGGCGCCACCTAACGTATTTTTTATTTAATATTTAGGATTCTCACCCTGTATAAGATTTTATCTTTTGATCGTGTTTTGAAAGTTATAGAAAATCTAATCACTGCCTTATTTTTTTTATTAATCAAGGCGCCACCTAACGTATTTTTTATTTAATATTTAGGATTCCCACCCTGTATAAGATTTTATCTTTTGATCGTGTTTTGAAAGTTATAGAAAATCTAATCACTGCCTTATTTTTTTATTAATCAAGGCGCCACCTAACGTATTTTTATTATTCAAGATTCATAACCTGTATAAGATTTTATCTTTTGGGCGTGTTTTGAAAGTTATAGAAAATCTAAGCACTGCCTTATTTTTTCAATCAAGGCGCCACCTAACGTATTTTTATTTAATACTTAGGATTCTCACCCTGTATAAGATTTTATCTTTTCAGCGTGTTTTGTTCGTGTGTAGTTGAAGATCATTCTGGCACATATCACATTGTCATAATCTCACAGTGTTGACTTAGATATCTGCAAAGTGTCGTCTGGTGATCCAGCGGTAAGCTCGACGGCTTATAACGCTAGAATTTGAGATGCGATTCCTGTTGTGGATACACTTTAAATAGCCCATTGTGTAGTTTTGTACTAAAGCAAGAAACAAACCAAAGAACAAACAGTTTATTTTTTTTTGTTGTTGTTGCAAATACTTACATAGCATGCAATGTAATATATGGTGCAAAATATTATGCATATGTAAACATATGTGGGCAGAACACAGATAGCCCTTTATGTACCTTTGCGCTTAACAACAATCAAACGATCAAGTCGCTGAATTTTTATGTGATCATACTGTTAAAACGAGCCCTTAGGAAACCGTCGTTATTGTTTACCATATTTATTACGTAAAGAAGCAGGAACAGGGGCAGCTTTAGAAGGAGCCACTTATGATGGAACCTACGCTGCAATACTGTCAGGTAGAACAGGACCGAACACTGTATTGTACTATTAAGGTAAGTCGTGAAGTATACATCTACACATTATAGTAAAATAAATGCTTCATGTAAAATGCGTCGTCAGCGGCAAAACCAGTTTATGTTAATGTTTCATTTTAGGCCCGGTAATACAATTTTCACTGCATTACACTCAATTTTAACCAAACAATATCGTCATAAGATATTTAGCTGGGCCTGGCATAGCCTAGTCACCAGCGCGCTTGACTGGCAAAAATTATGTTTCACTTCATTACAATGACAATCACGGAGGAGAAAACCTAGAAGAGCTTGCCAAAGAAAAAAAAACATTGGTACCTCTTTCAGCCATTACGTACTCCATTACGATGAGTTATTTTTATGTAGCTCTACTAGTTACTGGTACAAGTGACAGGAAGTTTGTTTCAGAGTTTTGTGCGAGGCTACACAACTGCTCATCCTTCTCCTTAAGTTTTAACTGAAAGACTAGAGGGAAGGCAGTTTATTCAACAGCGCCGCCAACAATTGTCTGGTTGTTCATTTGTTTGTTTTGAATTTCGCGTAAAGCTATTCGAGGCCTATCTGCGCTAGCCGTTCCTAACTTAGCATTGATAGACTAGAAGGATGGCAACTATTCAACACCACCTACCGTCAACTCTTAGACTACTCTTTTATCAACAAATATTGGGATTGGCCGTCACTTTATAACGCCCCCACGGCTGGAAGGACTAGCACGTTTGGTGAGTGGGATTCGATCCCGAGACCCGCAGATTGCGAGCAAGTCGAGCTTCTTAATCTCCAGGCCATGCCAGGCGCCATGTCCGATTGATGTGTATCTTTTGTAGCACAGCGACGATCCAAACGTGTAGAGCGCGTTATGGAAGAAACGGGTTGCGAATCGCGAATCCTCCAAATTACAATCTAGGCACTCTAACCACTGGAGTGGCCCGACATGGCCAGGTGGTTAAGGCACTCGACTCGCAATCTGAGTGTCGTGGGTTCGAATCCCCGTCTCACCAAACATGCTTACCCTTTCAGCCGTTGGGGGCGTTATAATG